AAATGCAGCCCCCCCTAGAAATCTGATTCTCCGGTGTCTTTCCTGTAAGGCAGTTTCTCCCAAGTGGTGTTCCGGGGAACCCCGGGGTTCCACGAGTGAAAATAAGGGTTCCGCCAGTAAATTCCATTACAATAACATGTTGTTATTAAAAAATAATCATTAATATTAAGCATTTATGAATTTTATTGAAAACCATTTTCATTTGTGTCGATCTCATGACCTCGTTTAGCATTTGTTTATTATTATCCTTACTTATTTGTGATCTACTTTTTCAGCTCTGTATATAAGACTGTTATTAGGGGTTCCACAAAATTCTTTTGAGTTTAAATGGGTTCCGTGGCCAAATAAAATTGGGACACACTGCTGTAAGGAATGAGTCACACCGTCGCGGGGCTGCTGGCAGGCTGGAGCACAGCTGCCGAGGAGAGACATTTGTTTATTATTATCCTTACTTATTTGTGATCTACTTTTTCAGCTCTGTATATAAGACTGTTATTAGGGGTTCCACAAAATTCTTTTGAGTTTAAATGGGTTCCGTGGCCAAATAAAATTGGGACACACTGCTGTAAGGAATGAGTCACACCGTCGCGGGGCTGCTGGCAGGCTGGAGCACAGCTGCCGAGGAGAGAGCAGCGTTCACCGCGGCAGAGGAGAGAGCAGCGTTGTCTCTGAAAAGGCAGGCTGGCCGGCGGTTAAGGTGCAACTCAGGGGCTTAGGGGACCAGCTGTCAGACTCCCAAAGGAGCAGAAACCTGTCCTGTTCCTACTGGAAGCTCCGTGTGTTCTAAGCCGTTGGCTTTGCCAAAGTCCACCCAGGAGAGCCACGGGTGGGCACAGAACCCAGGGATCTTTGCATCCAACACTTGAGCGGTTCCTCTACCTACGAGGAAGTAGTAGGTTGTTCTCCTCTGTGTTGTAGGTGCCTCTCTGGCCCCCCCGCCCATCGCTGTAGAATCTATCATGTATTTATCCTCACAACCTGCCTCTGGGCAGGGAGCTGCTCTTAACCCCATTGTACAAGTGAGGGGCGAGGCACAGAGCGGCTAACTGAAAAAATCACACAGGGAGCCTCTTGCGAACCTACGAGGAAGTAGTAGGTTGTTCTCCTCTGTGTTGTAGGTGCCTCTCTGGCCCCCCCGCCCATCGCTGTAGAATCTATCATGTATTTATCCTCACAACCTGCCTCTGGGCAGGGAGCTGCTCTTAACCCCATTGTACAAGTGAGGGGCGAGGCACAGAGCGGCTAACTGAAAAAATCACACAGGGAGCCTCTTGCGAAGCAGAGAACGGGACGTGTTTCTTGGGGATCGTCCCAGCTACATCTATACCGCACGCTTGTTTCGGAATACGCTCTT